AGCTTGGTCCTTCTCAGCCCTGAGCCTTAATAAGGTAAGGGACCGCCTGCTCTTCAACTCCCCTCACCTGGCTATCTCCTTACCCATCTCTGTCCTTTGGCTGTTCTGTACAGTGGTACTCTCGGTGCTGCTGGCAGCACAAGGGCTGAACTACAGGCCTTGAGGCAAAGGTCAGCTGGGCATGACAAGGCCTATGGAGCTCAGGGTGGTGGGGGCAGCTAAAGCTTAGGAGCTGAGATGGCCAGTTGCAGTATGAAGCTTGAGGCGGTACTCCTCAGCAGTGATCTTGGTGCTGTTGAGGTTGAAACAGAGGCCCAAGAATGGGGGTGGCCAGAGGAGACTGCTGAAGGCACCAGGCTTCTGGTTGAGCCCTAGCACCACCAGCATCAGTGAGGAGTGCTACTGTGTACACCAGCAAAAGGAGATTGGAGGAAAATAGGCAGATGGAGGAATAAGTGCTGCTGCAGTCATTAAGTGTAGGCCATTGGGGGGGGGGCACTGTAATAGCTGTAATTTCAGGGACTGGTACCATTCGTTCAACAGAAAATGAAAATGAAACAAATTTTGAAACATAATGTTTTATGGAAAGTCATTAACTCATACTTTAATGAATATATATGGGATAGCAAAACAATCTGAATTCCCAAAGTGTTTTAAGCAAATTTTTCGTCTGAGGAAACAGAAAGCACTAAATAGCATATCCTATTGTCTAATCAGGTTTGCCAACAAGGGGGCCTTTTTAATTTTTTTAATATAGTTTTAAATTAGTTTTTTTGCTTCAATCAGTTTTAATTCACTCAGAAGAGTCTGCTTGTACTCAAGATCTGGATTTTTTTCCCCGTTATTATATCCTAACGTAAAACAACTAGGAAGGCTGAAAACAACAACAAAAGAACATAAACATATAGTTTCTAAGCCACTTACAAAAACACCAGGTTGATTCACTCATTTGTTTTCATTGTCTGAGTAGTGTTATTTTTTTATTGCTGGTTTCCCCAGCAGGTGTCCCTCTTTAACTGCAGTGTTTTATACTCACCAGAATTTGGGGTTGGGGGAGAGCTTGTTTGGTTCCCCTGAGCTACCACATTGGTAGCATCTACTGCTGTTTTGGCTGCATAAATATTGGCCTCTTCCTGGAATTTTCCCATATTTTTCTTGTAGCGGATTCTCTTGTTACCAAACCAGTTGGAGACCTGTAACACAATAATAATTCCTGTTAGTATGTAAACAAATCATATTATCTCGTCAGTTAGTATTATCTTTAAAGGGTAGGAAGACCAAGCAAGGCTATTATGAAAGTAGACAAAATATAGTCATCTTTAAGTTTCTACAGCATCCAGCCGGGTNAGTCCAACACCTCTTGCCATTTGTACGATCTGTATTCTAAGTGTTTTCTTGACATGTCTTATGTGAACTTCTCTTTGCAACTTGTTATTCATTGCATATTTTATAAAGACTCGAAACTCTCCATCTATTCCTTTCATCAGCTTGCCTTTGGTTATCACTGGTGCTTCTGCTAAAGATACTCTCATTATTTCTGCCAAGTTTTCTCCCCTTTCTTCATCTATACTTTGAAGCATGAGATAGAGATCCAGTTCGTCTACCTCTCCTTTCAGTATTCCATACATATCATTTCCCTCCGCTCTCAGTTTGCTGTCAGTATCAACAATTATCACTTTGTTCATATTTTTCTGCAATTTTTTGAGCTCTATCTTCAAGTTTCATCATTGTTTTCTCAACTCTTCCCTCCATTTTTTTCTGTTCTTTGTTCTATAATCCCCAGATTCCTTTCAATTCTTTCTGTGCTTATTAGGACTTTTTGGGTTTCTAGCATAATTCTTTGCAAAGTTTTTTTCCTTTTCTTCTTCATATTGCACCATTTTTCCAAGTTGTAAATACTGCCACTAGGACATCCAAGACTTTTTGCTAGATTTCAAATAAATTCAGTGTAATCTTTCAATTCAGGGGTTTCTCTTTACTTCAAAAGAGCACCTGTATAAACAAGACGTGATTTTTTCTCTATCTTTTTGGTAAGCAAAGCCAATGGCCTTGAAATAACAGATGTAACCAAGCCTCCAGCCTTTAAATGGCAGTGTTACTTCTTTTTCCTCTGCTTTTAGCTCTCTCTTTAAACTTTATTTGAGTTAAGAAAAAAATGGTTAAAAAGGACAATCCTGCCGTGAGTTGAAGAAAAGATAAGAAAGGAATCCTTAATCCACAAGTACAAAAAATGAGAAAAAATAAAAGGGGAAAAGAGACCAGTCCAATTTAAAAAGTAAGAGGCATTTGTAAAAATTTCATCTATAAAAAGGAAACAAAATTAAAGGGAAAAAAAGATAACACAATAGTAATTCAGGCTAATCCGTCGCTTACTCGCTTCTGTCTTCAATTTTAACTTTACTCTAAGTCTTTTGGGTATTCTCTTCTATAATAGTAAAATTTATCTCATCAATTTCGACACACTCTCTCTCCTGCTCAGCTTCCGTTCAGGGGTCTGTCCCAACTTTATGCGGCTGCTTCTCTTGTAGCCGGCAAAAAGAGCTTTCTCCTGAATCGATCAGGGACTTTGCGATGTCTGGTGAAGAACCGGGGGAGGTGCATGTTGGCTGGAATGGCGAACAGGTCGACCCTCGGAAGGCCGAACCTCTGTGACAACTGACGGAACAACGATGGATGGAGTCGCCATTCCGAGCTGTTGATTGGCAGGATGGTGGTCCTGCCAATCCGCTGTTATGTTGTCCTTCCCTGAAATGTGGTCCGCCATTAGCGATGCAAGGTGTTGTTCTGCCCATCGGCCTAGGGCTTCCGCCTCTGACATCAGGGCTTGGGACCGGGTGCCGCCTTGGTGGTTTATGTATGCCTTGATGGCAATGTTTTCAGTCAGTATTAGAACAGCGGAAACCATGATGTGATGGCGAAAATGACACAGGGCTAGCCTGGCGGCCTGGAGCTCCAGCCAATTTATATTGTGGGTGAGCTCTGTCTGTGACCACCTGTCTTGTATGATGTAAGTCTGGAGATGAGCGCCCCAGCCATATAGGCTGGCATCCATTGTTATGACCAGGCGCTCTGGTTCCTTGAAAAAGGACCCCTGTTGCAGGGCCTCCAACTGCCACCACCTGAGCAACTAGATCACCCTCTGGGGAAGGCGAATCACCCTCTTGGAATTGCTGGCCTTGCGTCTTTGGATTGGCAGGAGGAACCATTGAAGCTCCCACACGTGCAGGCGCGCCCAAGGTACCAAGGCAATGCACGAAATTAGTTTCCCCAGCAACTGGGAGAGAGACACAATGGACGCTGAACCAGTCGTTTTGATGTGTCTTACCAGAGATCTGATGCTGTCCACTCTCTCTTGTGTGAAGAAGACCTTGCAGCTCTTGGAGTCGATCACCGTACCGAGATGTTCAATCCTGGATTTTGAAGTCAGGTGGCTCTTGTCAAGATTGATTGAAAACCTGTGACATTGGAGAGCATGAATGGTGATGTCGAGGTCTCTCTGGGCCTGCCCCCTGGACGATGAATGGATGAGAACGTCATCCAGGTAGCATTCTAGCCTCACCGGGAGGGATTGGAGATGAGCTGCGATGGCCACCAGAAGTTTGGTGAATGTCCGAGGAGCCGATGAGAGTCCAAAGGGGAGGGCTCTGTACTGATAGTGTTGGTTGGCAAACTGGAACCTCAGAAACCTGCGATGTGCTGGATGGATGGGAATATGCAGGTACGCCTCCTTCAAATCGATGGAAGTTAGGAGGTCGCCCTGCCTGATGCAATCCAGTATGTTTTGAAGAGATTGCATCTTGAAGCGCTTGTATTTTATATGGATGTTGAGTTTCTTGAGGTCCAAGATTGCCCTCACACACACACCCTGATGACTTTGGGACTAGGAAGAGGATCGAGTAGAACCCCCTGCCCTCTTGACAGCTGGGAACTGTCTCGGTGGCCACTATCTCCAGCAAATGCCCTACCTCTGCCCGCATCAGCTGGAGCTTGTGGGCAGATTTGGGAATGGGACAACGGACAAAGGTCCATGGAGGAGTCGAGAGGAATTCCAGGGTCAAGCCGTGGCAGACCGTATTCAGAATCCAAGTGTCTGTCGTTGTCTCCTCCCATTGTGCAGCATAGAGTTGAAGATGACCGCCTATGGGAGGAGACTGGTGACGGTCACTTAGTCTTCTGAAAGGAACGGTTGGAGTACCCCCCTCAGAAGGACCTGCGGTTACCCTGCTGCCCATTTTTGTCCCTATACGATGGTCTGTCTTGGGCACGATCCTGGGATTGGGAGTACGACCGGTTAAATCCCCCAGATGGGACTGGGGGTTCTGCGGCCCAAAAGGGCTGCCTGTGGAAGAAGGAATTTCCTTTGCGGTCAGGCTTTTTAGTGACCGATGGTAGAATCTTCCGTTTGTCCTTGGACTCAATTAAAACAGAGTCCAAGGCCTCTCCAAAGAGTTTACCACTTTAAAGAGAGTGGAAGCAAGCTTCCACTTCACCTTCATGTCCGCCTGCCAGTGGCGAAGCCATAGCAGACGGCAAGAGGTCACATTGGATGTGAGAGCCCTGGAAGAGAATTTGGTGGCATTAAGCAAGGCATCGGCAGAGTATTCGACGGCCACAATGATTTTATTCACGTCTTGGCATGCCCTGCTTATCTCCGGCTGGAAGGCTGGATAACAGCTTGCGGAGCCAAAACAGGGCTGCCCTGCTAAAGTAGGAAGAGGAGGAGGAGGCCCTCATGGCCCATGCAGTGGCCAGGTGGGTTTTATGGGAAGCCTTCTCCGCCCTTTTATCCTCAGCTTTGAGGCCCTCTAGCAGATCAGCTGGGAGTACAGAATTGGAAGTTAGGGCAACTATGGGATTGTCCACCTGAGGAAGCTTTAATAGCTCCTCGATACCACTCTCCATAGTATACAGCTTTTTATCCACCCCGCTGGGATTAGCCATAGACTCTGGTTGGGTCAACTGGCGCTGGATGATATCCAGAAACAGCTGGGGGGACTGGCACTAAGTCTTGAGGGGGAGTGGTCTCCTTGAAGAGCCCCACGCCTGGGTTCTGGGGACCAACTGCACCCTTGATACCCTGCTCAGCCAAAGGTTTATCCAACTGTGCCGGGAGACCCATTTGGATGGCGGAGACCCTGGTTTTGGTGAGGATAGCCCTAAACATAGAGGGCTTGAACAAGCCCGAGAAGACAGGTGTGCCGGGGAGAGGATTATTGTCCTTGGAAACGTCAGGGGTGTCCTTGTCGCCCTCCTCCGCCTCAGACACCTCACTGACCCCAGAAGAGGTTGGGGAGGAAGCTCTGGCTGGTGGATCCTTAGAACCAGAAGTGCAAACCTTGGATAGGATATGGCCCTGGCAAGGCAAAGAGAGAACTAGCTGCTGTATGCCATCTGCAATCCCCTGAGAGATTGCATGCGCAACCACCTCCTGCATTACCCGGGGCAGCTGAGGCCCCTGATCCTCAGAATGATCAGGTGCCCTGGATCGGGATGCAGCCAGAGGCAAGGCCCCCTCTCCCATAAGGGAACAGGACGGGTTAATAGATTCCTCAGCTAGGGATAAGCTGGGAGGTCTAGGGGAAGCCCTGGAGATATTGGGAGAAAATCCAAAATCCTCCTCTCCTGCCAGGGAAGGGGACCTGTCTCACTGAGGGGAGGGGAGGGGAGGGAGGGACCCACAGACTCCTCAGGAGGAGGGAAGGGCTGCAGGCTTCTGGGCAGATTGAGCCCAGAATGCACGGATTTATACCGCCATTTGCCAGGAGTCAAAAGCGACTTGAAAGCACCAAATTAATATTCATCATTATTTTAGTCATTGTCTATCCACTGCAGAATGAAGGCGTCTTCTGCATATTTCCAACCAATATGGTCAAGCTTTCTTTTGCCAATTGGGCCTACAATACTTGCTGATGTCATAGATCCATCTTGTTTTAGGTCTCTTTTGTGGATGCATTTTAACAAGTGGGATCCGTTCTATGACTGCCTTGGTCCACCTGCCATTAATTCTTCTTGCTATGGGACTAGCCCATTTCCATTTCAATTCTTTTATTCTCTTGATAATATCGTATACTTTCTTTGTTCTCTAATCTATGTGCAGGTCTTTCTAACTTGTCTTTTAATGCCAAGCATGTATCTTTTAGTGGCACTTTGCACTAATTGTAGCTTTTGTATTGATTGTGAGGTTGGTGTCCATGTTTCACCGGCATATGTTAGAGCAGGTAGCACACACTGATTGAAAACTTTTCTCTTCAGGCATAGGGGAAGACTGTTCTTGAAAATTATACTTAGCTTGCCGAATGCCTGCCAATCATATTTAACACACTGTTGAATTTTCTTTACTGTATCACCTTCCATTGAGATCCATTGGCCAAGGTGTATATCTAGGCCAAGGTCTACTACATCTAGTTCTTCTCCAGATATAAAAAATATATTTTCTTTGATGAATTTATTAGACATAACCTGATTCTTTTTCAGGTTTACAAATTAATAGGTTCTAAAAGAAAGAATCCAATTACAGATGTTTGGAAAAGCTTTCCCAGGTGAAAGATATTGTTTACAATAAATACTCTCACCATTAGATTTGTCTATGCTATATCCATCATTGCAATACCATCAGTTGTATCAGAGCATTGAGAGAATCTACACTTGGGTTC